CTCTCCTTGCACCCTCTTCCACAACAAATTCAAGCCTTGGGCCCTTTCCGATCTCACCTCTCCTAAGTTGTCCCCCAGTTCTGCCAGAGCTCTCCCTCTGGCTGACTACACCCCCAAAACACTGCAGAAGGGCAAATATCACAGCTAGAACCCCTTTTGTCCTCTTCCAGGGTTCCCTGCAGACACTACGTGCTCTGAGCACTCACCCATTTGCAAAGGACAGCTCAGGCAGGAGGAGAGTGTGCCAGGGGAGGGATCCTGCAACCTATACAGCCCTAATCGCTAACAGAATCACCTAATCACTGACAGAAACAAAACCATAAGGACTCCTTCTTCACGCTCTTACAACCCTGAAACACCTTAGAAAAGTAAAACCCACCAGCAATCCTGCCTCAGTTCCTCTGTCTATAAAATGTGGGTAACAGTAACCTATTTCCCAAGCAACAGGCAGAGAGGTTTAGTTAAAAAAAAAAAAAAAAAAAAAATTAAAATTGCCAAAGGATAGTGTTATACAAATGTACATATTCATTTACACATACAGATATAGAAAAAAAGATTATTTTTAAATTCAAAGCTGGGCTTACCTGCCTCAACTTCAAACTCATTCTGAAAAATTTGCTTTGACTTACCTGAAAGAAAACAGTTTAGAAAATTAGACTTTTAAATTGTGAAAATAAAAACTATACAATTTCTGTCACACTGTTCTGCATTACCAAACAGAATTGCATTGAATTCACTTAATTCGCAATGCCTTTTACATTCGAAAAACAGCAGAACAGACAGTTTGAGCATAAGCTTAATTTCTTTTCTATTTGAAAAATATTACATCTTCAAATTTTTTGTTTTTGAAAGAGGTAAGTACAGAGTAAATACGTTTGCCAAGAATGCCAAGTGGGGATTTACTGCATGTGAATACGCAATATGGTACTGCCGTTGCCAAAAAAAGGCAAGTTAAACCTACACGTGTTTCTACCCAAAAGTGTAGGACTACAGGCAGAATGTGCATTGGAAAATTATATTGATATAATTGCACATCTCATGATAAGCACCTATGAAAACAGCAGGCCAGACATCTATGTGGACATCTTCATAAGTAAATATTGCAACTAGACTTGCTAAAATTAAAACTATATGTGTAATACAGAGCATACGTTTGTGTGCATTTATTGCATTAAAAGCTCTGGCAGTCTGAGACTTGACAAATGCACAAGCATTTTCCTGTTCTTCAAATTAACAAGAGGTATTTTTAAGGGAAGGAGCATAATCTTGGTAGCACAGGGATCATTCTGTAGAAAAATAACCGTATTATTTCTATAAGAAATGTATCAACACGACTTGTCACTAGCAAACTGGTGTCCAACTGTACAAGTGCTATGTTGGCTCTTATTTGTATCGCATAATAATAAACAGTTCCCGCACCAAGAAGTTTACAAAATGATGTATTTAAAAATCATTTCTAGCTCTAATCTTTTCTGCAAACACGTACATTTAAAAGGATGTTTCCTTTAGATTGTTATCCCTTCAACTCCTCTTGTAAATAGGCAGTCATGATGTATGTGATTTAATCACGCAATTTCTAATGCCTTAGCAAACATGCAAGCAAAACATCTCCTTGGCTTCTAAGAGCCTATAAATGAAGGGTTAACATACTACTAAAACATAATAGCCAGTGCCTTTTGCTAACTCCCCTCCAACAGGAAGGCTGACAGATCCTGACCACAGCAAACAATAGCTGGGATTGTACTAGCAAGAACTAGTTCAGCTGCATCACTTGCCAATAATCTTTTTAGCAGATTTAACATTCTTCTGTTTCCTTCACTTGAACAGTATGATGGGGGGGAAGGAGGAGAAGAGCAGATAAATTTCCATCAGAGCCTCAACCACTGAAAGAATTTGTCCTTGGTACCTGCCAAATGTGAAACTTCAGACCAGAGGCCAGCAGGGCTAACCATTTGGAGATGATAGCAATGATCTCAGAGTGATGCAAACTGGGGCACGGGGCTGCTTTGGCAAAATGTTTTCTGGCTGCACGATACGTTGTTGGGCTTGGGAGTCCCAATGCTCCCCACCCCAACAGCAGCAGCACAGCTACCGAAGCACAGGGCTCACCTTCATGCCACCACTGGGGCTCCTCACCCCTCTAGTGGGGTCCAAACAAAAACTACCAGCTCTACACAAAATACGTTTTATACCTGTAATCATTCCAGTAGAGCAAACATATACATGCACATGTGCATATTTATGCACCTACTCTACACAGATATATATCTACATAGAAAACATTTCAATTCCATTTGCATTCAAACCACTGCTGAACTAAAGGACTGCTGAACTAAAGGATTCAGTCACAACTGGAGAGTCTACAAAAAATACTCAAAAATCTCAGTTGTTCACTATACTGTAGAACTAATTGGCAGAGGCAAAGGCCTTCGATGTGGCCAGTTCCCTTTGGTTACATGTATATATACACATTATGCTAAAGCCAGTAAACAGTAAGCAAAAGAGGCAGCCTACCTTCTATGTCATCTGGAGCCGTGGCATAAATGTTAGAAAGGTTAAGCTTCAGTCTGTCAGGGCACTCTCTATTTACAGTCAGGCTGGGTGATATCACTAGATCTAGCATTTCCTTATACCTGAAGGAAAACAAAGGAAAAATATAATTTATTCATTAATTATGCATGCTTACTAATGATTCAATTTTTTCCCTAAGAGTATAAATATTAAAGCTGATTACCTAAACCCAGGCTTCATATAAATTCCACATAATAACATTCACTAAAGTTTTCATCAAAGGGAAATGCTGAATTAAAATGAAGTATTTGCTCCCTTGGAGATTACACCCCTCTCATTAATGCTTTCCCTTTCTTCCTGGATTTTGCCATACGAAAACTGAATTCCCTTATCTCTCGTATGCCATCAGAGCGAGAATGTACACACCAGTGTCCAGTGAGGCTCCAGAACAGACTATTATGGGCTGAAAATGAAGTCGAGGGCAGGTAACAGCATTATCTAGTCTTACAAGATAATAAGGTTAGTACTGGTGATAAGATCAGTTTTCCAGAGGACACCTAAACCAGGCACCTAGCTACAATGTCCTGACCATTAGGTGGCAGTGATACAAGGACAGTCCATTTCACATAAATAACCTCTGATTTAACTGAAAATTTCACATGAACAATATATAGGACTTGAGTCTCCAAAGAAAAACATACTTGTTTGTGTGTGTGCATGACCTACACTATAATGAAAGCTTACAAACTATGCATTACACAAACAGTTCAGAAAAGAGAACGACTAAATCATTATCTCAGACCCTATGTGCAACGTGAATAGGTCTATTCATCTGAATACCACCATTTTCAATATATGCGTCTAACTCCAGCTATACACCTTTTCAGAACTAGGCTCCAAAGACACTTGCTTGAAATAGAGCTGCTTGCTTCCCTTGGAAGTGTTGGATGTTTTGGATGGATACAAAACATGGCATTAAGTGCACAGATTTGCATAACTATGTTTGCAGGTTTGCGTAAAGACAACAGAGTGAGTACAGTAAGGAAACTGTGTGTTACATTAGATATCTGCACGATGGCTTTTATGCAAGGCAGGTTTCCTGGACACCTTTACCCCCATAATGTTCTGCCTTTGTTTCCTGTGCTACCAATGCCTGCAGCTGGAACTGTGAAGAACCCACTGGCCAAAGAAAACCTGAAGCTAAATTTGTCAATTATTGTATTCATTTTTTTAAAATACACACAATGCCATGGAAACCTATTTGAATTTTCTAAGACTACACCAATGTATTTTGCAGCTTTTGGCTCAGGTCCAGAACAAATGATGAAGAGGACTCCTCAAGACGCTACGTCCTTCTTCGCTTTCTGCAGCCACATAGAGTACATCCTCACTTCAGTCCCCTTTAGGCTATTGGGGGGGAATTAGGGCTATTAGGGAAAAGCATAACTGTCCTCTTGGACAGAGCAGGGCCCAGATGGGAGAGAGGGCATATGGTGGCGAGCGGATTCAAGGCACCTGGCTGCAGCCTGCATGGGCTCCCCTTTCTGCTCAGCACTGAACACACTACCTGCAAAGCCAGCTGGCACACCCCTGCTCTCAGGCTGGGACCTATCTGAGCTGGACTATAAAGCTAGCAGATGGCATGGCAGCAACAGGCTGGTAGCAATCTATAGCACACCTAAAATATCATGAAATTAAAGACAACAGCACTTAAACCTGAAATCTTGACGCTGGGCTTCTGCAATACTAATCTATGCGCTTCCGTGAGAAGAGAAGAAGTTTGTTTTGATTTTCTGTTTAAATACTACTGTATGACTTTACCAGCTTTGAGAAACAGAGAACAATAAACCACATACCTTTTATCTGAATTTCTCCAATCACTTTTACAAAGCCCTTACAAAGAGGGTAAGTACTGTTATGAACAGGCACAAACCAGACTAAGTATTTTACCTGTAACTGAACAGCAAAGACCAAAGCTGAGTTCATTTTCACTTTCCCCACCTAACAGCTGGAAAGGCACTCTGCCCAAGCAGAAAAAGCATCCATCCTCTGTGAATTTGCAGAATTGCCAAAAACGGGTATGAAGCGGCATAACCATGTACAATGTCCGCAGCCCCAGTCCTCCTTTCTCCAGATGGGATCTGAGCTCCTCTTGTCTGCTTCCCTTGGAAATCCATGTGGGCGTATGCTTTTTCACCACCAATGTAGCCTCAAGTCCAGAGGTTGGTAAAGGCTTCCTGATTATGTGCCATGATGGAGACCTTAAGTCAGCAGTAAATGACCAATGGGGTAGAAATACAGTACTCTAAATCCAACACTTGTGAGATCCATGCTCCCTAACTGCTATGTGTTATAGATTTGCTAAGAAAACAAGCCTACCATAAAAATCAGTGTTGCTTTGCAGCTGGAGAATCTTTGTTGCTAGTGGGCCTCAAAGGGCTCCACCTTCAGATGTGTCCCTGTAAGACGAGCACAACTCCTGTCTCCCCCCGCCCCCGCCTTAGACACAGACACTAAAGCACAGCAAGAGAGAAGTAAAAATGCAGGGGCACAGGGGCCACCAACTGTGCCCACAACCAGTGTCCGTGCTACCAACTGCATGGAAATGCAACAAGGTACCAGATTTATACAAGGATAAAAAAAATAGTCCCTAGCTGTACAAATTCCTCTCTAAGTGACTCTGTCCAATGGCAGAGATGGAATGGCAATCCAGGACTCCTGACCTAACCCTAAATAAAACACAGCCCACAAGGAACTTTACTCAGTCCTAATAGCACTGGAGCAAGTTATGGTCCAAACTGGTACCTGCAGACAGAGGCTTTACCGAAGCACATGTGCATTTGCTTCACAGGCAGTCTCAGGCACGGGGGAGGCAGGCAGATGCCTCAGAGCCACAGACTGTCAGGCAGTAAGGGATCGTCATGGCTCTTCTGCACACTTTGCTTATGCCAGAGGAAAAAAGAGATTTTTCTCCTGTGAAACGGCTAATCTCACTCTTTCACTGGTACAGCCAGGCTGCCGCAGAGAAAGGGGTCAGGAAGGCTTTTGTGGTGCTTACTTCTCAGTGGGGAGGAACAAGGTCTCTCCTACAAGCAACTGTGGCTCCTAAGGCTCTCTTAAAAGCACCAGGCTGGGCGGGGGCTCTTTTCCCAGAGGAATTACTTTATTCGAATCCATTGGCACCACATTAAATTTTCTTTGCATGGCTGAGAAGGCAGGGTTCAGTTTTATACCAGGTTTTCCCTTCCACTGTAAGCAATGTCCAATTTTTTTTCCCCTTTATTTCCTTAATGCTATACCTGAACTGAGGAAAAGCACTGCTGTCCCAGACCCCATCAAGCTGGGGATGTTCTACATTGTTTCTCAGATAACACATGCCCTTCAGCATAATCCAAAACCCCATCATTCATGACGCTGCCCAGACTGTTGCCAAGTGAATGGGAGCAGATGTTTAAAGGGAAATGATCTTTTATAATGATTAATGCACTTTGATTACATCATTGTTCAGAGATTTCATTAGCTACTCTCTGACTGATGATTTTTCTATTGGTTTTGTTCTCTTCACTTTTGTATCCACAAAGTCATATCACACTTCCCTGTATTTGTTCTATAACATTTTCCTGGCGTTTTTTTTTCAGCTTCCATTTTTCTTTACAGTATGTATTAGTTGCATGTACAAACAGGTAACTTTTCACAGACATACCTGTCTGGTTGTGCATATCATGTATGTGTTTGCATTGTTAGTGGCTTTGCCTGTTTTGCACGCACCATTTACCAATTTGTTCACGTGCATTTCTCACTTCACAAGAGTTTCTGAAATTCCAGTTTTAACAATGGCAATCTACACAAAATCTTCAGTAAAATAATGGAAATGGGATGGTATTTAACACAGTAAATGACATGCTGGAGTGCAACTGATGAAAATACCAGGCCTTTGTTTGCTTGCTTTTTAGAGCAAAAACATTTTCTGGCTTAAGTAATGTACAGTAAATCAGTAATAAAGTCTGCTGAATATGAGCTTTTATTAAAACCAGTGATGGCAGCATCTAGCATGTTGGGCTGACAGACATCTGGAAGAGCTTTTGGCTTCTATAATTAAGAAGAACCTTGTGTGAATTTGGTGCTCAGCTTTTCCATTAGAATTCCCTACTCAAAAACCAATATTTTGCCCTGAAAGTTGGCCCACAAAATCTCTGCCAAGAACAGAAACTTTTCTCTTTACTGATGTTTAGGAAGGAAAAAAGAAAAATAAAAGTCTTTTTCAGTCATTCTGTAGCTAGGAATGCCAAATTAAACATTTTAAACATTAAACATTTCAAATTTTTGATCAAGATGTTTGATCACATCTTCTTTTACAATGATGTTTCGAAGGCAGTGACTCCAGACCCCAACTCAAAACAGTCAAACGTGTGCTGAAGATCAAACTACTGAGCAATCCCATCTCTCTCCAGCAAATACTCAAAGATGGACATAAGTGCAATGCCGAAGCAGGACCCAGTGTGCAGACCGAATCAGCAAGGTGCTCTGGATACTGATGGTGATGAGAACCTGATGGATAGTATTTTGAAAGGATGAAACAGGAAATCACCATGGCGTTGTGGGCAGATGCATTCTGTTCAACACAGCTGAAAGGCCAGAAGGCACCAGCAAGAGATGAAGGAAACTCCTTCCAAAGCTTGGGCCTCTGCTGCTCAGGCATAATTTAAAGCATCTCTCAGTCTGTTCTAACTTGCTTTTAACATCCTCACCACAACATACTAAAGGCATCATCTCAGGACCATGGGCATTTCCACCCCCACTGTGAAGTCAGTGGACTTGTTCCCGGGAGTCTGCGTATTTCACTTGTCTCTACTCCATTTCCGGGGTGAGAAGATACTATTCTGGCTTCAATACGTACAAGTACATGAAGTGGAACAAATGTTCAAAAGAGCACTTCCAGGGCATCTTCAGTAAATAAGACACCTGGGTAGTAAGTAGTACTCGGGTAAACTCAATGGCCAAGCGATGAAGAGATTTCAGAGGGAATGTACGGCAAGGAAGAGCATTTGCCCTATAATGACAGCAGGCTTTAGGAGAGTATTTGAGCAACAGGAGGTTGATGGTACAGTTCAGAAATTACATA